GTCTCTTCAGGAAGAAAGGCAGAAGCACTTCTGTCCTGGGCTGGACTTAGCTCTCTGAGGGCTGGTCTGACAAGGGAGGTGTTGAAGCATGAAGGATCCTTTCTCTTCAAACTGTACCCAGCATTTATGTAGATGATTTAGGCCATGGAGAGTCCTTTAAGCCCCTTTTCTCTTTTCAGTGATAAAAATAAGATTACTTGAAACCAGACAGTCCATTGCAGGGAGGACTTCTCATCTCTGAATAGCTACTTCCTGCACAATGCCTGCACCTTTGAGACCTGGTAGGGTTCAAAACCAGGCTAAGTCCCCTGCTTTTCACAAGGCTGAAACTAAAAAGTGTTAAGCTGTAAAATTGTCATTTATTACAAAAATTTAAAAAATATGATCTTGTCTTCTCAATGCCAGCCACAGATTGTTTCTAGAGCACTGGTGAATCTTTTTGTGGATCCAAATAACATTTCATCACACCCTTGCTGCAATTCTAATGTTATTAAGAGATACTGGAGTTATCCTTAGGCATTTTCTCTTGCAGGCACCTGCTTCTACCTTAATGAGGATACAGCCCATCCTCTACTGGCAATTCTAGATGATGGATTTACCATTTCATGTGATGAACTGGAAAACCCAGAGTGTGATCTGCCTGTCTATGATAACAGCTTTACAAGGTATACAGGGGCATTGCAGTTTCTTTGGTTCTTTTAACAGATGCCAGGAAATGTCTAATGGGGATTTCAGCAGCTCTGATTAATTTTTTTCAGTTGAAATCTCTCTGTCCAGCTGTTCTTTGGAAATTGGAAATTAATGCAAGTTCTTAAACAGGTTTACAGATACAGCAGCCACAATTATGTACAAGCCTACTTACACGTCTGGCACACTGAGCTAAATTTGAACAGGTACTTAGGTGCCATAACAAATGCTAAGGAAAGAAAAGGGATCTGAAAACTTACCTCTTGCTGAAAGATATAACTGATACTACTTGGACCAACAGGTATTACTTTCAAAAAATAATTAGGCCCTTTGCCATTGAAGTGAGAGACTGAGCTTGCCAAAATGCATATTTCCAGTCAAAACCACAGAAACACCAGGAAAGGTGTGTAGGAAGGTGGTAGGAAAGAGTTGGGAGACTGGTGATCCTTTTCATTAAAGCCATCATGGTAATCTTAAATGGGATTTCATCCCACTTCTATGGAATGCTTTTATGTTTCACATAAGCAGCCAGAGCTGACACTCATGTCATTCAAAGGCTGAGGTTTTGGTACCACTATGAACTTTCACAAATCTCCTTCAAACCAAGATACTGGAAAAAAAAAAAAAAAAAAAAAAAAAAAAAAAAAAAAAAAAAAAAAAAAAAAAAAAAAAAAAAAAAAAAAAAAAAAAAAAAAAAAAAAAGGAANAAAAAAAAAAAAAAAAAAAAAAAAAAAAAAAAAAAAAAAAAAAAAAAAAAAAAAAAAAAAAAAAAAAAAAAAAAAAAAAAAAAAAAGGAAAAAAAGCTCCCAAGGAAATTACATGGCAAACTCTTCTTTCTGAAGTTTGTGTGGTCTCCTAAGTTTGGGTGGCTGATTTATTTCCTAACTCTTTCTTCAGTGGAGCTCAGGTTTGCCTTGGAGGCTTTGCAGCTCTCATTACTATGGTCATGTTTTGTTCACAGATGTTTACTCATCCATTTTGCATCACTCCTTTTCCTTCTCAAGCTGTAGCAACACAGACTCTGAATTCTGATTTCAGCAGCCTTTAAGTTGTTCCCAAGACATTTACATGCACTCACAATGAACTCTACACTTGCTCTAGGCAAGTGAACTGCAGAGTACAACTACTGTAGTGTGCATGCCCATCCTTACACAACAGGCCCTCCAAATGATGAGTGCAGCTGTCAGCATTGCCCAGAAGACCTCAGTGACTGCCAGCAACATCCTTTTCCTTTGTAACTTACAACTTTAGATGCTACTATAGAAACATAAAAGTTGTGTGTGTGTGAAACCTGCTGTCCCCCTTGACAATGACAGCTGATACACCATGTACTTTTCCTAAAAAAAAGCTGAGGTGTAAGAATGCTCAGAATCTCTCCTAAGAGTGTTTTAGAAGCATTTGGAGTGGGTTATTTTGCCCAATTTTCTTGCTTTAGAACCTGTGTTTTTGCAGACTTGCATCTTCAAAGCACCCAGTTCCTTTGATTTCAAGACTGTGCCAGTAAATCAAGCTAAAGGGTCTCTCTGTATTACATTATCTTTGTCTCTACTACACAACTTTCAGAAGAGTTATTTTCTGCATGGTTCCTATCATACATTTCATGGCCCAGGTACCCAACATATTACAAGTTCTCCTACTGTGTTCAATTCTTCCTAATCTCTCCAAACACAGAGGGAACCAGTGTAGACAGGTTCCCTCCTCCCCAGCTGCCCCAGGAACTTCATGCTGTTACAGTGCTCAGTTCCTAATGGTGAGTGACGTTCAAAACCCTGGGCTGTTCAGAAAGAAAATGCAAAATCTGTACTTTTTCCCTCTGCTATGCTGGGGTTCACTAGAGCACTCTCTTTTCTAACAAGCATTAACTTTCCCAGAAAACCCAGGCACTATGGGATGCTGTTCTCCAACTTCCTGGAAGTGTCTAGGGCACTTATTTATACAAAACTACCCCCAAGTGAAAACAGGGCAGGTGTCACAAAGAAACCTGCGGTCTGGGTGTCAGCTCCTCAGCAAGGGATTTCACTGGAATCAAAAATCCACATTGCACTGCTAGGGTGACAGCAGATGTGGCTTTTGTTTATTGCTATGTAATGCCCAGGCATATGCATACCTGAACATATCTAAACACTGAAGAACATTATAGAGAGGCACTGCCAAAACACATACTCCTGTCTGTCTCCCACAGATGTATTGCCATCCTGGGCAGTCTGATCCCATTTCCAGGAAAGCATTACTGGGAGGTGGAAGTTGAGGAAGATACAGAGTACAGAATTGGTGTGGCTTTTGAGAACACTCCAAGACATGGTCACCTGGGGGCAAACAACTCATCCTGGTGCATGAGGCACATCATCACACCCTCAAGGTAAGGGCTGTGGAGGCTGCAGGTCTCTGACAGGAACAACTCTTACACCTGCAGGCAGAGAAGCAGAAAAGCCAGAGATTTTTTATCAGCTCAGATCAGAGACTGGAACCTCTGACATTCTACTGCTGTCCCTGTAAACTGGTGTTGTAAGTATACTGCTTAAGCAAATCCTCCTGCTTTTTTAGGGTGTTCCAGAAGCATTTGGCATGGGTTATTTTGCCCAACTTCCTTGCTTCAGAACTTGTGTTTTGGCAGATTTGCATCTTCAAAGCACCCATTTCCATTGACTGAGATGGTGCTACTGAATCAAGCTGAAGGGTCTCTCTGTGGTACATTGTCTCATTGAAATGAGACATTGTCACATTGAAACAAGAAACTGAAGCAACAAGAGGGTAATAGATCTATGTAATCCAGAAACTACGTACCTGGCTAAACCCAGCTATACCCAACTGGTTTTGATCTCTGTCCTACCTATGGAAATATGTCACACCTGCCTGCAGAAATGCCAGCTCCCCTCTTGCCTCAGCTGCACTGCTGGTTCTCCCCTGGACACAGTACATTAACATCACTGCCTTTGACTCTCATGAGCAACCTGGGCACCTGTGTATACGAAGTGCTTCCCTTTGAGAGCAGCCAGGGTGCCTTCAGCTCTTTATTTTTCTTGCCTGCAGGCACAAATACGAGTTCCTGCACAGTGGGATGACACCTGACATCAGAATTACTGTTCCCCCCAGAAGGATTGGCATCCTGCTGGACTACGAGAACTGCAGACTGGCATTTTTCAATGCAGATATTGCCCAGCACCTTCACACATTCAACTCACACTTCCAGCATTATGTCCACCCCTGCTTCGCACTGGAAACACCTGGTATCTTGAGGATACATACTGGAATTACAACACCCCCATGGACTGCCCTGCCATAACCTGTGTTCTGCAGCTACCACACCCATGTGTAACCTGCCCTCAACAATGCCCTCTTTCAGCATTAACTGCACCATCATACTCCCTATACAGCAGCTGTTTCCCCCTAGTAAGAGCAAAGCAACCCTGACCCAATCCAGCTGCCAAGCCTGAGCCCTTAGGAGTTTGCATCCTCTTGGGAAGGATCTTAGCAAAAAGCCACTGTGGTCACAAGATCCATCAGCATCCCAGAATTCTTGTTAGAAATGGACACCTTCCTTCTCAGAGGTGACACTGTCACCACACAGCACACTGGCAACTGGATCACAGGTTCCCCCAACACCCACCTGAAACCTAGGGAACTCCCCAGTTCTAAAGCCATCTATAATTCTACTCCCAAGTCTACTCAAGAGCTAAAAACTCAAAGAAAAACAAAAATAGCAAAAGGCATGATCACTGTATAGCTGCTGGAGCTGAAAACACTCAGCCATGAAGCTGATCTCCTGCTCAAGTGTTCTTGTTGCTACATGAAGTCTGTGAAAGAAGATAGTCAAATACACCTCCCCTATGTGTGAAATGTTTGTGCCTACATACCCAGTGAGGCTTTCTGGAATACCCAAGCCTGCACTCCAATCTCAAGCATAAGCCATTTTTTACAGAATGCTTTTCATACATTCACCCAGGGAAAAAAAGATAGGTAGGCTTTTTTGCAGTGCTTGATGTCCTTATAGAAAAACCTGAAGCAACACTTTTAGCTGCTTCTTTTTAGCTATGCTCACCTCCACTGGGGTGCACCCTCCCTCCACACTCATAGATCTGTTCTCCCCCTCAGCACTGAAGAATTCCACTCCATGCTGTGCCCTAGAAGCTGTGGGTGTCCAATGAAGCTGGAGGGACTCTGGCCCAGCCACTTCAGACATCCTTGTTTGGGTTTCACTTCCAGACACCAATCAAGACAAGCCCTGCCTGACAAGCAGGCTTGGCCAGCTCTGAACAGCCTCATCCATGTATGTTAAAACTACCTTAACTCAATCAAGAATCATTAACAGAGAATCTTGTCCACAGATTTATTGCACATTCATTACAAAAATCATTGGTTTAAGTTTCCATTATAGGGAATCGCCAGGAACAAGCAGTGGCCTCTACAATATGCAGGGTCTCTACAAATAAATGCCATTGGCAAAACTAGAGATTTTACATAGAACTGTGTGTCAAAAGTTTGTCTGTTCTTTTTCAAAGAGCTTTAAAGACGTCTTGCAAAAACAGGCCTTTAGAAACCACAAAAACGGGAGCTGAGTATGTTGTTAACAGCAGTGATTAGTACCAGCTGCTCTTGGGTATCTGTTTCAAAAGCCTCAGAAGATGGGTTTAGCAACACTGAGCTATACCAGCACAGCATTTCTTAACCTACCAGGAATTAAGATGTTTTCAGGGCAGAAAACTTTGTTTTGGTCACTTTGTCAGTCCTCCTGTAAGCAGGCCAGAGACTCAGTTGCTTTGTCTGCCAGTGAGCAAAGCAGCTTGTGGCCATGTGTGCCCTGCTGATGCTGGCATGGCCACCCAGGGAACAGCAGCTCTAGGGTACAGCTCTGCAGGGGATGGAAGTGGTGAGAAAGCACCATTCGTTGCTTGAAAACGTACTCCTTGACTCTGGGTCCAACTTCTACCCACTGGAACATGTTTTACCCCTATCAGCCAAGAACTGAGAGCCCCATTCTTATTTTCAAGTCAATACCTGAAAGAGTGTAACACACAGATACCAGAGCAGAGGTATGAGGACATCTGAACCTCCAAACAGAGCTTCTAATGCACAAAGGCTGCTGGTGAACCCATGATTCCACTCCCCTTCACCAGCTTTCACCTCAAGTGTTTAAACCATAGCTTTAACCTGGCAAACTACTTTCCAACTGGTGAACTGAATTGACAAGTCCCCAGGACTTCACAACCCCCTTGCTGGACTGTTGCAAGGACAGATTTTCTGAGCCAAATGCAAGGTGCTCAGACACCCTTACACTGGGACTCCACAGTACCAAACAGCTCCGTTGTTATGCTGTCAGTGGCTGAGTACAGAGCAGCCTGCTCAGGAGAATGGCCCATGGTCATCGCCAGGCATGGCACAGGACTGCTGAGGCAGTGCCAGAGCTATCTGAAAGAAAGAACAAATATGCAATAATTGGCTTCTAGGTTAAAAGCAGTAAGGGAAATGAGTTTGTATGTTTCTGTTTAATAAAAGCTTGACCTGTTGGCACTAGCCCAAGCTCCTCCTCCCTTAGGAATCCAAACCCCATCACTTAAATATTTATACAGCAAAAGAAAACTTGACAACATGTGTTTCTTAAACCAGCTGTTGCTCTGAACAATCTCTATATAAATCCTTTACTGGGAGGCCACCACTTCCACTGCAGAGGTCTACAAAGCTGTAAGTTTACACCAACCCTGCATGTTCAGTTTATTCATCAGGTGTATTCAGTTTATTGGAACTCAGGGTATAGCACTCAACTTTGCCAACTGTGCTGATGTGAGATCTATTTCTCTGCACTGAAAGGTATCTCAGATGAGGTAAAATGAGTTCTTACCTCTGGCCTGTATACAGGAACTCTGGCTGAACTACATCATGTGGTAGGGCAACAGTCAGTTAAAAATGAGTTGTCCTTGTTTCTAACATAATGTGCTGCAAGCTACATTTTTCCTGCTACCTGTTGGGTCTTTTTCTTCCTTTTCCTTATGGGCATTCACTGGTACACAGCAAAACCCATCCTCTGCAAAGGACAGAAGCTCATGCCTAAAGCTCTGGTTTTGGCCAGCTGAAGCCCTCAGGCAGTCCTCATGTGCAGCAGTGATCCACGCATCCCTGCAGGACTTGCAGCATCAGGAACTGCCAAGGACAGGACACCCCCAACCACACCTCCCCCAGCAGCTAACTGGGGACTTTGCCAGGGCTGCCCAAGCCCCTTCTTTCCAATTCCCTGGGATTTCAAATTCACGTTGTTGCCACTGGAGGGCTCACGTGAAGCCCTTTCAGAAGACCAGTCTGGTCTCACGCAGGTTTCTGAGGCTGAAAACAGTTTCCAAACCAGTTACCATAATCCAAGGGATGTCCAGTGTCCCTCCACACCCAGTGCTGGAGCCAGGAACAAGGGGCCTGTGAGCAATTAGACAGCAGAGACACGTCAAACGCACAAATACAAGAGACAACACAATAGCCTCGAAATACATTTAATATATATTTAAAACAAACACATCCAATCTTTTACTACAGAAACACACAACTTTTTACTTGCTCTCTCTCACTGCCATTAAAATATTGTAGGTAGATCAAGTAGGTCCTGACCTTTATCTCACAGGCAGGCCTTGTTCTCTCACCATTTAATTTAGGAGGATAGTATCAGTGGAGTCAATATAGTGCCACTGGCTCCACTTTCTTAGTCCTCCAGATGAATCGCCATAAAAAACTTCTGAATAGTCTCAGAACAGACTGAGCCCTCCTAAAGTAGACAGCAGAGCCTAACCACTCAGCCAGGAAGGCGATTTCCTGTTCCTGTCTTGAAACTCAGTTGAATCTTTTTACTGCCCATCTGTTTCCCAACAGTAATCAATATCACTCTTGAGCAGCACGCAGCAAAGCAGGGACCGTGCAAAGGTGAGACTTCGCTTCCTCGTCAGACTCTACTGCAGTCCTGGGCCAGTCCAAAACACAACACTGGCTTTTTATTCAATCTTCTTTCCATCGCGTTTATCGTGGTGTGCTCAGCTGCCAATATATACTCAGGTATCCTAGCCCACCTTACTGAAACCTTTTCCAAACACGCTTATTTTTCAAGCTTTACTTGCTCAGATGGAAGCGATACCGAGACCTTAACTGCTTTACAAAATGGCTGCAAGGGGCTCGCCCTCTGCCAAAAGCATGCTCATCCCACACCTGGAGCTACACAGAATCCAGAACCAATTCTGTGGCTTAAACAGCCGCAGAAAAGCTGCAGCAGTGGGTCCCGGGCTACCTCACAAAACCAGCACCACGAGCAGTCCCTCCCGGGCGGCAGCGGGCCCGGCGGGCAGCGCTTACCTGGGCAGGGCGGGCGGCATCGCCTCCTCACGGCCCCGCGCGGCAGCTGCCGGGCCCAGCCCCGGGCAGGCCGGGCCTCGTCGCCACGGCACGGGAGCGCTCCGGCCGCACGGCGACGGGGCCTCTCCGTGTGCGAGGGAGGCCGTGCCGAGCTCCGCCGCGCTCCCGCTGCCGGCCGGCCGCCCCGGGCACCTCCGGCCGCGGGAGGAGCGGGGCCGGCCCCGCCGCCATGAGCTCCCCCGCCTCCCCTCGCGGCGCCGCCATTTCCCGCGGCTCGGTGCGCCCGGACTGAGGGCGGGCAGAGGGCGGGCACTGCTGCCTTCCTGCGCCGGGACAGCGCCAGGGACGGGGAGGGGCCGCTCGCGGCTCCGCCCCGGGGTGGGCGCTCTGTTCCCGCAGCCCCGGCCTCGCCAACGCAGGCTTTTCCCGAGACATTGCGGACCAAGCTGGGCTCACCACGCTCGGCACTCGCTCGAGCCCTGCCTGCCCTCGGCTGGGCCATGGAGCGGCTTCCCCAGTGATGGCTCCATCCACACACAGCTGAATTGCTGCCTCCAGCAGCCACTATCCCCTGCAGCACCTGCTGTGCGTGTCCCCCTCCATTCCTTCCCATAACACGTGCTTGATTCTGCAGACTGAAGCAGGAGAATAACACCCGCTGCTAGCACAGCCCTGGCAAGGCTGAGGGAGAGCCAGCAGCTCTCGGCGGCTCCTGGGTCTCCACCAGCAGGACTGGGGCCGGACAAAGCTGCCATTTCTCGCCCTGAGGGGGGTGTTCGCAGCTCCCAAATCACCTGCACGCCCAGCCCAACAGTAGCACGTTAACTCCCTTGCCTTGGAGGTATTTTGCAGCCAGTTGAATATGCTCAAGTTTTCTCTCAATCTCTAAACAAAATTCCTTTACATTCCCTCTCTGATACTAGAAAGCAAATCATCAGGTGATGCTTGGGGCCACTCCCACACCTCCTGCCTCGTGCCCCTGTGCTGAGGTGAAAGCTGCAGCCAGGCTGCTGTAATGGAACTAGGTATTATTGTGCCTGTGCAGTGAGAGTCAGATACATTTCATCGTCTGTGTAATAAAATGCTTGATTAAGTAAATATTTTGCCTCCCATACATGGAAGCATGTAGTTTACAGCGAGGATTTATTAAGCTGAAAATTTCTAAGCATGCCCCAAGAGGTGGCTTATATTGACATACAGGAAAAGGCACTTAAGAATCAGTTCGACTTCCACACAGCCTGTCCAACAGAAAAAAATTCCTTTGTTTCTGGTGGAAAATTTCAAATTCAGCACCATCATTGTTACAACCTGTTCTCTTGCTTTGCATTTTTCTGGGCACTAGAGTTCATATCTAAACTTTTACCTGAACATTGAGTTCATATCAACCAACAGGTCAAAGAATAGATAAAAATATAAACAACTATATAAACAGCTGTTTAAATTAGAAACGGATGGTGGTTTGGTTTTGTTTGTTTGGTGGGTTTTTTTGTTGGTGGTGTTTTTTGTGGTTTTGTTTTGTTTTTGTTTTGCTGCAAAAGGAAAAACAGCCATTGGCTTTTGGGCTGTGCTGTCTCAGTCCCTGTGGAGTTTGCACATTGCAAATATCTCATGAGTGGGTCAGCACAGTGGCATAGCAGTGAGAGCCTGTGTGGGGCTCTCTGGCTCTCTCTGCTTGCAGCACAAGAAGAAAGTCTAAGAAGAAAGTCTAAGCTCAGGGTGCATCTGATCAGAAAATGTGGAAGTAGGACTGTGGCATTTCAGAGACACGCTATAATAATGTGACCATATATTTGCAACCAGTCTTAGGACAGATTTCCTTCAGAAAGACAAAATTATCTAAGAAGTGGATCCATGGGTAAGAAGTAATACTCATGAGGCAGATTATGAACAGAGCTAAGCCAATGGAAGTAAATATAGCTTCACCAAATTCAATGCATTAGGAAGGATTTTTAAGTCCCAAAGTGGGGCTACTGGTAAGCAGATGGAAGAAATAAAATCCCAAATCCAAAGCCCCTTTTTTCAGACCACCTTCTACAAACATTCTTGTTACAACAAAAGCAACACAAATATCACTTTGCTAATACCTACTGAGCCAGACTTAAACATGCCACTGATATTTACTTAACAAACATTGTTACATACGTACTTTGCTGTGGTTCAAAGATCACTTGTTTATTTAGAACAGCTTATTTTAAAACAAGGCTTTGGGTTGTTTGTTTTGTTGTTGTTGGGGCTTTTGTGTGGTTTTGGTTGGATGGTAGGTTGGTGTTTTAGCTCTTTTTTTTTTGTTCCTGGCATGACAGAGCAGCTAAAACTTTGTGCTTTCTGACCTTGCCTTGTCAGAGATCTGGCACATTGGCACTGAGTCTGCCAGCGTGCATTTTGAGGGGCTGGGAGAGGCTGCTCGTTTTTAGGGCTTGATTGTCAGGTGAGGAGTACTTCACTCTGCTCTCACAATGTCCTGAGCACTGTCTGTATACGAACAATTGCAGACTTTCTTCCTCTTTAACCCCAAAAGCCGTGCCTGATGTTACGCACACGGTTCTCAGCCCAGTCCCAGAGGGGTGGCTGGGCATCTCAGCTGCTCCTGAGCACTCCTGAGCTCTCACAGGCACGCTGTGTCCTTGCAGAGCCTTACTTACAGTAAGCAGAGTGTGAAACAGTGTGTCCCGAGCCTGGGGACAGTGCTGTGACACAGAGCTGATGGCATTCGGCTCTCCCGGGAGTCTCACCAAGCCTGACACAGTGGGGTGGGAGGATGAAGCTCTGGCATCTCAGGAGCTCTGACCAGTATCTCTGAAAAACACCAGAGACAAACCTTTATGAAAGCACCTGCTTTCTACATTTCTCTTCCCATTTTTTGGCAGGATCCTCACCAGAGCCCCCAGCAGCAGCCAGATTGTCCCAGGACTAGGCCAGGGTTTGCTGCAGTATGGATGCCCACAAATCCCTGTGCTTCCCTGCAGCTCATTTCACCCACCTGTGAAAGGGCTTTGAGGGTCTTCTTGTAAAGCTTAGGGATCTGTAAAGGAAAAATTTTATTTTCTGTGTAGAATAATATTACAAGCAAAGTAACTTTTGAGGGTTTGTTTTATTTTGGTTTATTTTTTTTTTTTTTTAGGCAAAAAGGGACAGTTCTTTCTGGAGGTAAAAAGCAATATTCTTCACACATTTTACACTGCAAATACCAAGAAAATCTTATCAAACATATTCCATTTCATCTTTAGGCTGAAGACAAAGCCATACCTCCTCCCCCAAGCTGGGGAGCTGCAGGATCACCAGGTTGACGTCATTCTCCTTGGTGATAAAACATGCTGCATGCTGAACTTGGCACTCAGCATGCTCAGGTTGAGCTAAGAGCTAATGTAATGAATTCTGGGGAAGGATTTACATCAAATACCACTCTGGAATATTAAATACAGACAAGACCAACTTCTCACTTGAATAATTACACACTGGCTAAATTCCTCCTTTTGTTTCAAAGAGGAATCACCTTTCTCACTTCCTTTTGAAAATTGTATGTGTTGGTGCACTACTGTTGGTTTCACTACCTGTGTAATAAAAGGATGAAGTGACTTCTGTTAAGTACCATGGGCTGAACTAAGATGAGTTTTAGCTCTAGCAATGACTCTTGCCACTCGACGGGGGGAGCAAGCAAACCAAGAAAAGGCAGATTCGAATTTCAACAAGTGTCCCCAGCTGCTTGTGCTTGCTAACATAACCTCAAAGGCAGAGGTGTCTGGGAACACTCCTGACTTCACTTTGCATGTGGGAGTACAGTAGCAAAGACCTTGCACACATATTCCCACTACCCCAGCAGCATTGCAGTGCTCACAAGCTATTTCAGTTACCTGTGTTTGTGTTCTCCTTCTGCCTGTGGATGCTTTCAGCCATTATAAGATATTTCTCCAGGCTCATTCTGAGTCAGAAAGCAAAAGATTTTCTTGTGGTAAAAGCTGTAGTAAATAAGCAGCAAGAGTCAGTTTGAAGGCAGGGTTTAGTCCCAGTGTTATGGCTGTGTGTTTGAGGGAGATGTTCAGCCAGTGGAAGTTAAAAGCAAAGACTTCTAGCAAATGACCTAAGAAGAAAAATGGAAGCAGATAAGCTGGAAGAGGGGAAAAAGTGGAACATGAGAAGACCAGAAGATTGTTCCCTTGCCTAACACTGTTAAACCGCAGGCAGAGCTTGAAGATCCAGGATTTCAAAGATCTTTAGAAGCCTCAAAGCTACTTTGCTTAGTGGCTCTGGGTTCCCTGGCCTTTCCTAACTCAGTTGTCTTGCCTGCTAAAGAGGCAGCTGCCATTGCTTCACAGGGTTTTCAAAGCTGAGTCCACTGAGGTTTGCATGGAAAGTGTTGGAGGAGAGTCTTAAAGATGTTAAACAAGTGGAAAAAAGGGAAACATGAGACACTTTGCCCAAATAACATTCAAAGCAGGCACCAAGAGAAAGTATTCAGTGGAGTTAAGCCACAGCCCTTTGCTCACAGAGCCAAAGTTTCAGCAAAAAACAACTGAAACACCTGGACATCCCCTTTGTTCTGAACCAGTAGACCAGGCTGCGCAGGGATATGGCAGCAATTTGAAAACTTGTTTTCTGCATCTAAATATCATGTCAGGACAAACTGCACTCCATCCTGCTATCATTTAATAGCACCCCTGGGACCCCTGTACCTTGGAGGCACGATGTCACACATCAGCAGAGAGATTATTTGTTTTGAAGCTTGTGAATAGCTCTGAGACTTCATTTCAAAGCACTCCTTGCTCACTCATGACTCAAACCCTTCTGGTCTCACTGAAGGGCACAACTGACTGCCTATGCTGTTTCTCAGCACCCAGCAAGTGATTATTAGATATCTATTATCCTTTCTTCTCTTTTATGCAGGAATGCCTTTGCCGTTGCTCAATTCCTTCATGTTCAAGACACATTTTCTTATATGTGTTATCAATGACTCCTCTACTGAGACAAGCAGAAACACCCAGATGAAAAGGCACTGCAACAAAAACCAAGGCATTCATTCAATTTCAGATGATTTTTAATTTATGTATTAAATTATTTATATATCCATTGGGTAAACTGCAGTATGAAAACCATCTTCAGACCTGTGATATGGTAGGTGTGCATGCCACCTATCTGGTTTCTCCTTTTGTCAGAATAAGCAATTACTCTAAATTTTGTACAAGCAAAAAAGATGCTCATCCAGGACTATTTGCTGAAAAAAAACCCCATTTTTTATCATAATAATTAATATTATAATAATATGAATATATTATAATAATTCATATCCACTTGGAAGCATCTACAGTGATACCCGGGTTTAGAAGCAGGATCACCTGATAGAAAATATGCAGCATGGAAAATAGAGCCATTCATTCTGTCATTTAATGCTGAATTGTTGAACCTTATTAAGTTTTAAAACACAAAGCTTTTTACTAAAGCCCTGGAGGTGCATAAAGAACCTCTCTTTCATCATGTCTACATTGAAATTTACTCTTGTATTAGCTTTAAAGCAAGAACAAATGAAAAGTGCAGACACTACATAAGACTGACAGCCTAACTGAAATTTGGAACACTACAATCACACTCAGTTTATTCCACTGTGCTGCCTTCCATGTTGAAGGACCATCAGTAAATCCACTTCTGTCCCCAGGAAGTTCCATCACTGAGTGACAGTTCAAAAAGCTGGAAAGGGTTCAGAGCACAGGGCATATGATGTTGCTGTGTAATTTTGGAGAATAAAGGAAGGGGCTATGGAATGGCTGAAGCATTTGCAATGGGATCCAAAGACATCTGCATCCTGGAGCAGTGAATATCAGGTTAGGGCTATTACTGCTCCACAGCAAGGCCCTTCATGCTGCATGGGCAGCAGCCTGGAATCTCCCCCACAGAACAGGCACAGACTCCCAGTGCACAGAAGGCTTCAGAGGCATGGCTTGGAGAGAGAAGCTCTCCCAGAAAGTAAAGATCAGGCATCATGATTCCAGATTTTAATTATAATCTGTCCGCAGCAAATGTAGATGGACAGGAGATTGAACAAAGGTGCAGTGGCTGAAAATCAGTGTTTTATGTTAAGTGAAATTATGGTACACCAGTATGGACATAAATCTGGCTTACAGAGAGAGTTGATTAGCACAGTTCTACAGTCCAAGTAATGGAAATAAAGATGCAGTGTGAATTTCAGGGAATTAATCATACTGTTCACATCTTTTCAAATGATGCATCAGGCATTTTTATAGCAGATGAAATTAACTGCTTTTAACCATATTTTAATATAACCCAGACTATTAACTTTGCTTATGAAGAAATATTTTTTCTGGGCAATTTAATATCTTTATTGAGGACCTGGATGAGGGGATCAAGTGCACCCTCAGTTTGCAAATGGCACCAAGATGGATGGGAGTGTTGCTCTGCAGCAGGGTAGGAAGGTTGTGCAGAGGGGCCTGGACAGGCTGGATCCATGGAACGGTGCCAGTGGTGTGAGGTTCCACAAGGCCAAGGGGCGGGTGCTGCCCTTGGGTCACAACAGCCCCGCACGGCTTTGCAGGCTGGGCACAGGGGCTGGGCAGTGCCCAGCAGAAAAGGAGCCGGGAGCTGCTGGGCAGCGGCTGGCCGGGAGCCAGCGAGCGCCGGGAATGCCGGCGGCACCGGGCCCGTCCGGGAGCAGCGGGGCCAGGGCAGAGCCACCCCTGCACCCAGCTCTGCTGAGGCCACTCCTCAGTGCTGTGCCCAGTTCTGGGCTTCTCCGGGCAGCGCGGTCACCGGGGGCTGGAGCGTGTCCGGAGCAGGTGAACAGAGCTGGGGAAGGGGCTGGAGCACCAGGGCTGTAAGGAGTGGCTGAGGGAGCCGGGGGTGCTCAGCCTGCAGAAAAGGAGGCTCAGAGACCTTATCACTGCCTAGAACTACCTGAAAGGACACTGCAGCCAGGTGGGAGTCAGTCTCTCCTCCCAAGAAACAAGTGATAAGACAAGACGAAAGGACAAGGCCTCAAGTTGCACCAGAGGAAGTTTAGATTGGATATTAGGAATTCTTTTTTTTATTTGAAGGGTTGTCAAGAATTAGAACAGGCTGCCCAGGGCAGTGGTGGAGTCACCCTCTCTGAAGGGATTTAAAACATATGCAAAAGATGTGTAGATGTGGGACTTGGGGATGTAGTTTAGTGGTGGATTTGGCAGTACTGGAGGAATGGTTGGACTCTATAATCTTAAAGGTCTTTTCCATTCTTAATGATTCCATGATTTTTACCTGCAGAGAAGTCTCTGTGTCCACATGCTCATGCCCACACATCCTCTCCCATCCTCACTGTAGCAGATAAGCAGAAGAGGCACTGATGTGTCATGCACTTTTCCCCTAATGGAGACACAGGAGCCTGCAAGGAACAGAAGAGATGCATACCAGGTAGCAAATTACAGCTGGTTACAATAGATAAAGTGTAGGGAAATACAATGTGATATTGCCAACTATCAGCCAACTCTCCCTCTCCTTGCAAGTTCCCTGTGAAAACTGGATACTTGTTTTATTGAGCCTTCAATGAAAATATATCTGCTTCTTCAGCTTTGATTGTAGAATCTCTGGAAGACTGACCAGAGAAGCTTCTGTCCTACTACTGTCAGTGAGACAGTGGCACAGTCTGGACACCCCTCCCTGAGCCCCCTGGCTTAGGCAACATGCACACAAGAATTAACTAAATGGAATTACGAAAAGGGAATTCCCTGCCCCAACAGCATATAACTGAATTCTGAGTAGCTAAAGAGACCACACAAGCAGGGTAAGGCAGAAAGGCATGACAGAAATGGTGGTAGCCCATCAGTCTCACTGCCTTGGAGAGGAAGTAGAAACACAGAAGCAGGTAACACCTGAGGCACTCTTCCTTTCTTACCTTCTACTGCAGTCCTTGAATTGCTCCATCATCCACCTCTCCCCTGCTTCTGCTTCTTCAAGAATGGTTAAAAATGTCTCTGAACGCAATTGGCTCTGCAGTAACAACAGTCAGCAGCCCTTTCAGTGCCTCTGTTGGATGGATGCCCTTCTGTTGACTGGGAAGGCTGACAGGATACTCCTCGAGTCCTCCACAGCACGACACTGCGTGGAGCTGTGAAGAGTCTTGTCCCAGGATACACAAGGGTCTGATGGGCTTGCCAGCTACACTTTCATCACCCTTATGCTGTTCAACTCCCTCAACTTTTCCCTTCCCCAGACAAAAAGTATCTTAGTTATTTTTAAAATAATTTCATGTGTTTGTTAGTCTGCAAACTACAAAGTGCATATACATTTCAAATGAAATGGGTAGGACTTGACACTTCTTAAAATATACATTTTATTATTTTCTGGTAGTTGCTATGAAGGTTTCATTCAAATTGTGAAGGTACACAGCCTTTACAAACTTTTTGAGTTGAAGGTTTGTGTTGGTGGTTTTATGATCTTTTTCTTTTATGGCAGAGGAAAATACATTGGCTATAAAATGTTGAATCACCTTAGTATCACCTCTTCATATATGCTGTGGAATGCTTTGTAGAAATACTATATAAAATAAGGCAGACTTTAACAGGGAATTCAGTCATAAAATGTCACGGGAGATAACAGAGTTCCAACACATTATTATTTTTGTAGCCAAGAGAAGATCAGGTGGTCTTCACTGGTTTGTGGGAGAACTACTGCAGTTCTGGTGCTCAGACAGTATACAGTTCTTGTTTATTCTACTATTCTCAAGTGAGACCTTTTTAATAAAACTTATTTTAATTAACATAAATCAGACAATATTTAAACATACACATCTATCCTTACAGTGCAATAAAAATGTATCATTGTATAGTATTTTGTATTTGCATTATGAAAATAAAAGGTCTGTACATCAATTAAATGTATATTAATGAGTATGAATCATGTAAATTTATAATGCATCTAAAGTTGGCTTTGGCTTTTAAGTATTTATAAATTCATAGAAAATATTGAACATCTAACAAAATAAATAAAACATAACATTTTAATCATAGATGCTAACAATCAACCTCAAAATTCTCGTGTTATTTTTTACATTTGCTACTAAATTTCTTAAGGAGAACTCACTTTCAGTAGTGCTCAGAAGTGAATGATTGCACCTTCTGTGATGTGAAAAAATACAGTACATCTATTTTTCATAGATCAAAAAATTCTTTCATAGACAGTTGTATTTTAAATGTCTGATTGTTCTACATAACTGTCTGAAGTGCTTATAAAAAGCATGTAGCTTTCTCATAAAAGCTGTGAGTCTCTATTAATAGATAAACTTCTAGTGAATGTCCTTTTCATGAGGATTCTCTTCAAGGTCTTCCAGCTTCACGTGCTGGTATGAAGATATCACAGAAGTATGTTCATAATAAACCCTCTTCAGTACAAGTACTGCAGCAATCCAGTGTAATTCCACTTGGTGGGCTTATTTCATCTGAGTCCACACATGGTACTTTGTGGAAGTCAACTGCTGACCTTGTGTTCTCTTGAACGTGAAAGTTCCCCAAGTGCATGGGCTAGCTTTACTGTAATACTGAAGAGACCAAAACAAATCTGAATTCACACAGACAAAAGTGAGCTTGAATAAATATGCATCTGGCTAGTGAATGACACACCATGGTCTAACTGCTATTCTGGTGGTGGTCGAAGGACTCGTAGGTTCCTTCCATCCAGTCCTTTCCAGTATTTAATGTTATTATTCAGATGCTCCATCAGATTTGGCAGGTCGGCAAATGCTAGGGAAGGAAGGGTAGAAAGCATTGAGTTTGCAGAACTGAAACAATCACAGATTTTGTCTGCTTAAGCATCACTTGAAATGTTCAGGCAACTGTGTTGAGTAGAAAAGCTTAAATCTGTCATACTAATGCTTGAAATAGTTTTGGCTGTATAGCTCTCAGCACTCGTGTAGCACTGAGAACTGTTCTGTAAATCTACTTAATACTGGTATTGTAAGTCCCAGCAAAGGAACACAGTTTTCCAGGGGGGGAAAACTAATCATGGTTGTAATTATCCTCCCCCATCAAACCTCAGTCACATGTCATGATCTGGCATTCAGGAGAGTCACATTTCTGACCACTTTTACCATAGAGGCAGCACTTGGAAGGAAACAGCTGCTGCCCCAAGCAGTTTCCAGACAGTAGAAATCTGCCTTGAAGAATAACCAATATTAACATGGACAAAATGACTGTGCTCAAAGAGCTGTCAAAGAGAATGTGTTCTGTTCTCTGTTTACAGAGAAGCAAGTTTAAAAAGTCAAAGATTGCCAGGATCTAGTATATTATAGACAAGCCATGAGAATTGCTTGTAGCCATACTTATAAGCAGTAATGAAGTTATTAATCTTACTTGAACTGCAGGAATCTTCCTTTTTCTCTCCCTTTATTTAGGAGCCATAAAAAAGAAATTTTTATCATAACAGCTTCAAATTTTCACAAATTGTTCACATCAGGAAACAGCAGAGTTTTGCTTACCATCCCAGGCATCAAACATATCAATAATGAAGTAATCAATGAATGATAATTGAGATTTGGGGATGCTGCAAGTATTTCTGTCAAAAACCGGCATCACAACTGGTAAACCTTGCCTCCTTTCTTCATCAGTCTGCAAGAAACATTAGTGATTATTCATCTAAGACACATTCTGTTAATGGGCTTCTTTTTTTCTTCTGGCACTGGCTAGAACATGCATCTGCTAAATCAAAGGAGGAACCTGAATAGATCTGAAGCAGCAGCAACTTAATCTTAAGCACCTAGTTGTTCAGTTTCAGCAAAACAGCAGACAAATAGTGCCTTCCAGTGTTTCCCTCAAAGGGATATATTTGTCTTCTGTATCTGCACACAAGCTAAGCCTAAGTAACATCACACATTACTAAGTTATGACTTCTTTGGACCCAAGAGCTGCTCAGCCATTTTCAGTCTCTGATGGAAGCAGTGATCTGTCCCACTCAGACATGGCAAAGTACCTTTTGTATTCCCTTGCCCCTTTCTTGGGGTGCCAAGTTCCAACTGCAGTGTTTGGTATATAATCTATTATATATATATAATATAATCTATAATAATGACTGCCCTCTCCTTTTCCACATCATCCTGAAACCTTTCCTCAGCACAGTGTGCTAAGGGATTACAGCATTTCTTGGAGCGAGTGCTGCTCCCATCCAAACACTAGAACCTGCTGATACAATTCCTGAGGCAAAGCCAGCATGTGGGTACAGAAGCATCCTTCCTCTATCTTATGTGATGGGAGTGTATTTGCAGACAAGGCTCAGAAAGCCAAATTCCAAACTGAACAACTTGAAAGCTTAAATTTTTCAGAAATTGCACAATAGAAATTGTCAACTTTGTCTCTCTGAAGGCATCTAGTTGTGTACCAGCATGAGTAATACCCATTATTATTTCTCACATTACATAATGCAGCCTGAGATATTCTGTGACACTGGCACCCTTCCCCTCCCTTTTAAAGAGATGCTCACCTGCAGTTTCAGCAGCCTGCTTTAGCTGCCTTACCTGTGCAAAGTACTCCTCAGAGATGCGTCCAGCCCATTCTATACACTGTTCTCTGGGTCTGCACGGATTGGAAATGTCAGCACACTTTATCAACATGCGTTTGATGAGGATACGGTTTTCAGGAGACCTGAGAACAGTTTTGATGGACTCTCCATCACCATTATTCTGTAAAATTTAAGAATTAAAAACAATCCATTAGCAAGGTCTCCATGCACTAACTCAAAGCTTTTGTGCTTTGGGAATGCTTTCAGCACATCCTACAGGGATCAGTCCGCTACTGGCTACCAGATTTGATGTCTAACTGAATTTATAGGTGGATTATGAAAGTCAGCCATAGCTCTGAGCTAGCACTGAACTCCAGTTTCTGGATTCAGTCACTGGCTTTGTGACAGATCTCTTTGGCATCTTTGGGCAAGTCATCTATCTGTCTATTCCTTATCTGCCTTCTCAAAAGTGTGGAGAGGATACATTCATCACTACACACATAGTGATGAGGACTGTGTAGGCAGAAAAATGTAACTCTGCTGAAAACCAAGGATTAATGGACTTGCAAATTAAGAGTGGAATAGTTGGTTTGAAAAGAGGGACTGACCCGAGATGCAGAGTCACCCTTGGCACACAAACCCCATCAGTGTATCAGTCATTCTGACAGCACTGCTACTATTCAGAATCAGATCCTACACTGCCTCCCAGGCATGTTCCTCATTCCCTTCCCTTGCTGCTGGACTCTTTAAGGATGGATAGGTACAGGAGTTTACACTGCTGTCTATTCAGAATAGAAACTCTTTGAAGAAAGGAACATACAAGACTTTTTTGGCACTTAATAAGGTCTTGCTCTACAGTCAGAGCATGGAAGAAGTAACGAACAATAATGATAATAATAATGTGCTACCAGTTCCTGCAGTTTTTTGTACAAAGAGGGAGAAAGCATTAAGAAACATTCAAACAAAGCAGCAGAAACATTCTGACCTTTTATTAGGTCAGAATAACCATGATATTTTTCAGATGAAAATTCTTGTGGGGAAGAAAGTTCTCCCTAAAGGAAGAAACTGACAGTAATAAAAAAAAATTGATAGTATAGAAATGGCTCAGAAATACCAGCTCCACAGGTCTCACCAAAATGAGATGTCTAAACCAATTCTTTTCTCTCATTTCTAGGTATGTGGAAGGGAAAACAGAAGAAAAAAGGTGAGATGTGCATTTCATGGAAAAATTATATATGAGAAAGCCAACATAAAGTGATGGAAGCTCCAGAAACACAAGTATGGAAATTAGGTATGGAAAATTAAGAGATTGTTTGGTTATGAATAGAAGAGAATATCCTAGCAGGTAAACCACCAGGGAACAAGAAAGGATGTTCACCTCTGAGATCTGTTCAAACCAAAGGCACAGTTCTACTTGCTAGATGCAGATGTCTTGGGAATAAAATGTGTTAACTGTGC